GTGGAGGAATGCATCGGGCTTGTTGTGTGATAGAAAAAACCCCCTCAAACTTAAGGCAAAATTCTATAAGATGGTGGTGAGACCTGCGATGCTTTATGGTGTTGAATGTTGGTCATTAAAAGAGAAGCATAATACTAATTTAAGTGTTATAGAGATGAGAATGCTCAGGTGGATGAGTGACTTTACTCTTAGAGATAGGATGCGAAATGAGCATATTCGTGAAAATGTTGGTGTAGCTCCAATGGAAGATAAGGTTAGAGTGAGTCGTCTTAGATGGTTTGGTCACATAAAACGGCAGCCTTTCGATGAGCCGGTTAGGAAAGTAGATGTATTAAATTTGACTTATGTTAAGAAAGGTAGATGTAGACCTAAAAAGACTTGGTTAGATAATACTAGAAAGTAGAAATAATCTTTCCTTATTAGATTTAAATGAGAATTTGACTTTTAACATGACACAATGAAGAAAACGGATTCATGTAGTCGACCCCACGTAGTGGGACAAAGGCTTGATGTTGTTGTTGTAGTACTTACATTTGGGCAATGAGTGGCTTAAAAGGTAATAAGTTTAAATCCATATATTATAGTCCTTTCAAAAGGCTACATCTAGTAATCACACATGTATCTCAATATTTTCACTTATATCATACTCAATTTAGCCATCAATTATATAGCATACTCAGTTTGGCCATCAATCACTTTTTACCACCCAATACTCATAAATATGAGAAATTATTTTATGTGGACGCCGAACGCCGTCCAGATATCAACCAGAATGCGTCACATCACCCCCTGCTCGGTACCCGGCTCGGTACTGCTGACGTGGCGCATTCTGGTGGTCTCTAGACGGCGTTCGGCGTCCACACCGAATAATTTCTCCATAAACATGGCCTAAAAAAAGGCATCAAATTCTAGGAATAAAATGACCATGCATGTCATATTCATGAAAAGGCACAAAGAACGCATGGCTTAGGCATACATATGCACATCAGCACACATGAATTAGCATGAAAAGTAAATAGAAAAAAGAAGATACCTCATTATTGATTGCAGAACTATAATCCAGTGGGGCATCCCTGAACTTGACCTCTGCCACAAATTTGCCATAGTGGATCCTTCTCGATATGGCCTGTGCTCAAAATGATGCATCAAAATGTTATGGATGATCACAAACAATTTTAATTTTATTACCTGCAAGCATACAAGGTCTGATGCCAATGTCGATGCATAATTACCATCATCACCCTCAGCAGTAAATAGTGGAAGTAATTCATTGAAATACATGTTCCATATAGTCTTGGCTATATTCACAGATGCGCCAGCTGGATGTAACACCTATTTTCCAAGAATCAGGACATGATTTGAATTATAGTTATTATGAAGGGAAAAGCAAGTGAGGGAAGACTTACCTGGGGGTAATTGTATGAAGGAACTAAAGGCAAAGGCAGATCTTCAGGGAAAAAGGGAACCTCCTCTGGGTTTTCATACCTTCCAGCCTAAGAAAAGATAATATCTCAATTTGTTTAATTCATAATCAATACATAACAGTACTATATAGGATGCACTTAACTCTTAAGCATGAATAAATAACAAAATCATCACAGACACAAAATTAGCATGAATATTAGCACCCACCCCTTGTCCCTAACCATAAATAAAAAATTGTAAAAGGGGAAAAAAATACAAGCATGAAAATCAATGAGAAATATTGCTAAAGAGCAGAAGGCAATGAAATCATGTAAGCAAGTATAATAATATTAAGTAGTTAAGCATACCAACGGGCCAAAATAGTGCATGAAACCGTGGTCGATTATGGGCTATATGTAGGATTGTACGTAACTTACACTTCTATAGTTGTATGTGATGGAGAAGTTGTTCCCAGGTTCAAAAACATGTCCTTTAGGTATGAATGGGGCAAGCTAATATCTGGCCACCACATCAGTAGTTCAGTACACTCAAATATGAAACTATATGATGCCGGCGGCGGAGGCGACACGGCAACGGACAAGAACATGCGAGCTGCAAGAACTCCCAACTCACACAAGACCCAAGAACTCCGTGGAAGTGGGATCACCACCTGAAATACTTCAGGATACAGATACACAAAACAAGAGTAAAACTACTCAATTCTTATTCATCTCAACAATCTCCCTTTTTACAAGCATTGGCTACCTATTTATAGCCAAAAAGGAAGCATCATAATAGGCTACATACAAAATAAGAAAGCATTACACCTCTATAGCCCTATAACTACCGAATGGACTTAATACAGCCTGAAGTTTAATACAATTAACGTCTCAGCTCCGGCGTCACTATAGCCTAAGCATACATTAAAATAATAATGAAATTCTACAAATTCTCATACTAAGAGAAGTTTCATGATTACTCAACTACATTACTCAAATTAGCAGAGCCTGATTATATTTTCTTTCTTCATACTAATAGTTGAATAACAAAAGTGTGATTAATATTTGCATATTCATCACAAAGGTAGATTAAAATGATAATGTTAAGGTTATATCATGATAGAACATGAGATGCACCTTCAAACAGAAATAAGTAGCTTTGACGATAAAATACTACAAAGGATCACTAGCATACAATAGCATTTAAAATGCTTCCCTGTTGGTTTTGCTGCTGGTTTAACTAATAATG